AAAAGTTGGCAGCCCTTGTTTCGCTTGGCTTCAAAGTAGGCCGCAAACTGGAGGCCGTGGACAGCAACAACAACAACCTCGTCTGCGTGGCCACCATCAAGGACATTCTCAACGATCATCTGCTGATTCACTTTGATGGCTGGGACGACAGTTACGACTACTGGGCCCATCACACCTCACCACTCCTTCATCCCGTCAACTGGTGAGCATGTTGTTGTGAACATAGTTCTATGCAAAGTTTACACCTCTATCTCTACTTCCTGACAGGTGCCATTTTAACGGCAGGTCACTGACTGCGCCAAAAAACTATCAAGGTGGTGACAGATTTAACTGGAACGACTACCTAGCAAAAACTCGTAGTGTTTCAGTGCTTGCGCGCGCCTTCAAAAACAAGCCTAAAAATAGTTGGAAAAAAGGCATGAAATTGGAAGCGGTAGATCTGCAGAACCCTCGTTTCATTCGCGTGGCTACAATTGCCAGCCGCACGGGACATTTTGTGAAGATTCACTTTGACGGATGGAGTAACAAATACGACTATTCGGTACACTATTTCTATGCCCTTGTCCTGTGCCGCTAACTAACCGCGAATGTATGTTTGATGCTTTCAGATAGATGTCAACTGCCCTGACCTTCATCCAATTCATTGGTGTTCTCAGACTAATCATCCTCTGGAGCCTCCACCAAGCAGCAGCGCCACNGATAGATGTCAACTGCCCTGACCTTCATCCAATTCATTGGTGTTCTCAGACTAATCATCCTCTGGAGCCTCCACCAAGCAGCAGCGCCACGAGTATGCCTATTTAATGAGTGTGTTCATCATTTACTAATTTCTTTATCCTTAGGCGCTAATAGGACCAAAGTAACCTGCACAATTCCAAACTGCTATGGCATAGGGCACGTTCGCTGGTACAATCACAAAAGCCACAATACTATTGAAAACTGTCCGTACACTGACAAAAACATGGGAAAAGAGCCATCTGATCGATATGAAAGTGATAATGAATCAGTTGAAAGTGACGAGGATGTGGAGGACAGTGAAAACGAAGATAGCCAAGAAGCAGCCAAAAGAGAAGAAAATGACAATGTCAATGAGAAAGAACGTGAAGACCAAGAGGAGATGTCGATTTCAGACGCTGACGAACCAGAACTTCTCCAATACAGCATTTCCTTGCTGGAGCAAGAGAACTATTCACTGCAAATCCCGCAATCAAATCTAGCCCGATGCAAGTGCCTTCTAAAAGAAAACGAGAGTGAGTTTGAACTTGATAAAGTTTCCTCTTGGGACTACATTTTGGTTGAACGCTTTGTGCGCGTAATAACTGGGTGCCAACAGACGGCTGCCAAGTTTTCTTATCAGGTAAAAGGAACTGATCAAACGTGTTGGATCTGAATGCTAATTACCTTTCTCACCCTTGTATTACCAGAAAATCGACGGCGAGTCAATGCTGCTACTAACACTGGCTGATCTCACCGATAATCTGAACATCAAGTTTGGACCTGCTATCAAAATTCACAGTTGTATTGCCGAATTAAAAGCGACACTGTTGACTGGTGATGGTGGTCACCAGTAGGGCCACCAAATTTTCTATGTCCAGTTTATTGTTCGGTGTATTTTTTAGTTTCCATTATTTTTATTTTTAAATAAAAGAATTTTCAAAATTTATTTCTGATAAACAAAATGAGACATCAAAGTGAATGCTGCTGATTTCTGAAATCACTTTTGCTGACTGCATTAGCATATTGGCAAGCGTTTGATTCATAAGCTAACAAACAGCCTTGCGCAATTTATCTACAGCAAGTAAGTGACAAAAGAAGTAGCTGCTGTCAAAAACGCTGGCAAGTTGCTAAAAGAAGAGTGTCACGGTTTCCCCTGTCCTCTATGCTCATCAGAGACAATGACAGTGTGTTCAGTGTGTTTATGCAAATTCAATCGACAGTGTCAATTTGACACGTTTGTGAAATTTAGCACATCGACTGTGCGAGTCAAGTGAGAACGAACACGACTAGGGTGGCCACTACCTCATCAGCGAGAGCAATCCTAATGACGATAGGAATGCAAAAGCATTAGTAGTGCCGCAATTAGCGGTGGTGTTAATTAACCCCCGTTGCAACAACTGCAGGTGTGTAATGGTGTCTGGTTACCACCACCACCATTTTTTCGTTTTCTCCAGTCCAGTCTTCAGTGATAGCATTCAGACATTACAAGCGGGCACTTTCAGTAGGCACTAATTTTAGCAATCAAGGGAACACTCGGAAGAAAGTAGTGTACCATACCATCATTTAGTGAACACACAAACACAATCAGGTGGCGACAATGTGCTAACCTGATCTAATCTTGCTGTGTGTTCATCGAGTTGCAACTTGTCAGACAATCAAGTGAGATTCAAAGCCCGTTACCGTTACCATACTACGGAACCGTTTAGTCGACTCACAGTGATCAGCTTAGCTGTCACTGTCCGCCTAATTGAACTTTACTGCCCCTTCCCGTTGGAGTCACCTCAAACTGCTAAATCCTTTACGAACTAATTGTCCGATTGTGTGTACAGTGCTATGGTATTTATATCTACACCGTTTTACGGCCATTTTTGTAA